GAAAGAGCGACGAAGAAATATTCCAAGTCAGCGCGACGAAAGGACCGTCACGAAAATCCAAGAGAGAAGGACACAAAGACTGAAGAAGAAGAAATGTAATCATTGTTATTACCGCGACCCTGAAGATCGTATGTGACTTGGGTCCATCCGCGAGGACGAGAGGACGAGAGGGTATTCTAAGAGGCACATTATCTTGATAGCCAGTAAGTACCCTTGACATCGCGCCCTGCAGTCGATACCGAGAAGACATTCGATACGCAAAAATGCGGTAGCGCAGAGTCGAAGAGCGAATTGGAGCCAATCGAGACCTAGTATGGCGCGATAGTCGTTGCAATGCGTGTGGCTATCTACTTACTACGAACAATGCGCCACAAGATAAAATAAACGTCAACACAAACGTGACAGATAAAAAGCGCAGAGCTCGGCTGACAATATAGCGTCGACATCCTTTCGTGTGTGAAGAGAAACTGAAACGCACTGATAATTCGTGCCAAATAAGCATGATAGCTTCTCACGATAATCGGACGCAATTCGTGCCGTGAACTAAACGTGAATCCCACGTCGTTTCGAGGAGATTTGGGAAATGCAAAGACATGCTGACCACTGAGAATCCTGAAGAATCGCCAAAGCGGCGATCTACGTTCTACGTGCCATTGGACGGCAGCGAGTCGGTGCGGCAACCGATTACAAAACTGACTAAAGGCCACTCAGCAGATGGCAGTTGTGAAAAATTTGCCTGCAACACCTTTCCCATCGGCAGCACGTCGAAGACGCCAACGTCCGGGTCGCTTACGCGCACTTTGAGCAACAATGATGGCTTTACATCGAGGAGAAATGCAGATGAGACGTTACCCGAGGTGAGAGGGAAGGTGCAGTCGTTGACGAGAATCTTCGAGACGTCCAAGTGCGAACGGCCGCCCGGGACGTCCAGTGGTCAAACGGAACAGAGGAAGAAAGTCGAGAGAACGAGGTCGTTCAAGACTATCGAGCGATTCCAAAGCCGGTTCACCGGCAGGAAGGACTCCAGCAATAGGAAGGATAATCGTTTGAACAACACCATTGCCTGCTTCGAGGTGGAGAACGATGCCGGATGTAGGAAGAAGCCGACGAATGCCGACGAAGAGAAACCCGCGGCGAGAATCGTCATCGAGTCAGCTCCGAAGTCGGCTGGATCCAGCCGCGAGCATAGAATCAGCCATCAGGAGCCCAGGATTAAGCAGAACACGACTCTCACGAATCTTCTGATCCGTAGGACTCACAGCACCAAGTTGGCGAGGAGCAACAGCACGTTGGTACGGCTCGGAAGGCACGCTTCCGTCGATAGTCCTTGCACCGTTGAGAAAACGGATGTTCGTGCAAATAACGATAGGTTCAAGAACGAAGAGACCACCGAGGATCCCGCTGTCGCTGATGATGAATGCATCGAGTCGTCCGTCTTCGAGGACGCCGATATCGATGGCGGAATACACTCAGGTAGACAAACGAGCCTCTCCGGTTTAATTATTAACACACCGCATGTAGATTCTCAATTCGGATCGTCAATGTAATAAATTAAATATGTGATAAGGATATTGTTTAGCGTAATTGTGCTGAACATCATGTTGATTACCATGCTGATATGATTCCAGATTGATTTATGTAATGAAAGTAGTTCATTGAATCATTGGAGCAATTTTATTGGTCGTCTTTAATATATCTGTTAAATATTTCAATAGAAATAGTGAGTAGTAAACTATGATCGTTTAAAATCATATTTATATGAAAATATTTTTTGTTTTAAATTTGAAAGTATTCTTTTTTGATTTTTAGTACAAAAAGTTCAAATGGATGTTATCAAGATAATTTTATTGATAAAACAAATTTTTGTACGATAGGTCAGTCGATAAGTAACTTTAACTTGGCTCTCGATAATCGAGGTGATAAAAATTAAAGTTAATTATTAACTCACTCATGTATACCTTTACGAATACATGTAAAGAACTCCTTTTTTTATCGTGAATATATTAAAAGTAATTAGAACCATGAAGAAATTTAATTGAATTTATACATACTTGACATTAATTATCCTATACTGCAACATCATGTTATTATAATGAGTCGAAGCGCAAAACGAAAGCTACGTTTAGTGAGTGGATAGTAAGATATTTAATAGTAACCTACTCGTGAGATCAATCATATCGGTACTTAAAATCGCCGGAATGATCTTCAAATAAATCAGCCGAATGTATCGGTTTACACGAGTAAGCAACGAGTGTTAATTAACCACTTCCGCACGATTTCTTACGTCAGCCTCAGCCCCTAAACGATTTTTATTTTCGACTTGATAATTATGCAATAATTACACGTTACGCTATTCCCAAAGCTGCATTTAGGAGCATAGCAAGATTTACGAGGAGATCGAAAGTTCTATCAGTAACAGATTCTGAAGATTCGCTTAATAAGATCTTAGATAAACACAGCAGACCTGCTATTCACTTCTGAAAATGCTTTATGACTGTCTAAACCTTATACTTATTCAACGTTATCAAAGAAATCCTTTTTACACGTGTCTGCAGTAAAATTAAAAATTATTTTAATTGTAAATAGTATAAAAATTATGGTATAACACTTAAACTAATTAATTTATTTTTTTCTAACATGAGTAGATTTGCACGAGCTGCATTTTTAAATTGAAAATTTCGAAAACTTGCGTGCGTTAATATAATTCTGTTGCTTTCTTCTAACATAAACTATAACAAAATCTTTTTCTTGCATTATCTCTAACAATTAATGTAAAATCGAGAAGAAAAGGATTAACTATTCTTGTTTATGGAAGATTGTATATACTATGTTGTACTCAGTTTTAAATGTACTCTCTCTGTATTATACTTTAAAAGTCTAAATATGGCGATTGAAAGTATACTACTTTTACGAGCCATAGTATACTAATCGTAATTACAAAGCACAAAACACGCAAAACAAAATACACGCAAGCGAAACGGCGTTACGCATTGTCATATCTTTCTCGATAATGTATCAGCTTTTTGCAAGCGATAATATTTACGCGGAAACATACAGTCATCTCAACATTCACATACTATTTTCAATATATTTCTTATTTCATTTGTCACCTACATAAACAAAATTATCTTTTTTATCTTAAAATTAGAGGGAGATAAATAGTATATGTTTCTAAACAATCAAATCGTTTACTAAATCATTCTTAAAATTATTATCTCAGTACTCTTATTTTAGAGCGTTTTTAAAATATGTTAAAATAACATTAATTAATGAGCGTTAAATTATCTGTCGAAACGTATTCATTATAGTAAACTTTTCAATTTTTTTCATCATTAATGGAATATAATATATCTTCGTAGAAAAAAGAAGGTTGATCGCGAAAGGATTTAATTTGATTCACTGCAAATCTCTGCTTCAAGAAATATACTTCGTTCGAGTAAATCCAAATTATAGATTGCGTTTCGCATTATAAATAAAGCAAGAGTCTTATATTAAATAATTTACGGTTTAGGGATCAAAAGAGCTAAAGTATAAGCGACAAGGCTTTATCTAATTCAAACTACAGCGAATGAACCGTCGCGTTTCACATCGGCATGTCCTCCTTCCCTCGAGTTAATTGTGAAGAATGCAAAGTATACACAGCTAAACACGGTTATCGGAATAAGTACACACGGTCGCGCGTATTAAATCTTCCCTCGAATACACTCTGGTACCGCAGATGATGGAGCGTCTACTCATATTTTCTTCTTCGCTCCGTAAAAATATCTTGATATATTGGCGAAACTTAACAGGGCTGATCTAATGCTTCCGAGAATCTTATTATGGTACAACGAAGAATCAGCGAAAAGAATAATGCATATACAGAGTATCCCAGATCTGACTTTGGATTCGAGTCATTTGTGATTGGTTCCTAAAATTAAGTATTTTATTGATTTTTCAATTCGATCAATTGTAAATCTCTTAATTTAATATTAAATCGATTAACCAATAATCAAATTTTATCTTGTATATTTGAAAAAAATACAAGACCCTCTTTTTTCCTTCATTTTTAATCGCTTATAAATTTTTAGATTATTTACATTTCTGCTTAAAAAATCAATTTCAGACTGATTAACGAATGTATATGTTTGAAAGATGATTCATTGATTCAGATCTAGGGCACCTTCGTACATCTCGTTTATTTTTATTCCGAGAAGAGACGTGTGCATTACGTTGCATTACGTACTCTATAACCGAATAGTGTCATTGGAAACATTCAGGATAATAAGAACAAAATCTTCTCTTGCCTTCTAAAAGAGGATCTTACTTTGTATAAAGAAGATGAGCTACGGAAGCATTACCTTTATTTTTCCATACGTTATCTTCAAATAATAAAGCATTCGCGTATATTAGATACATATCAATACTTATCTGTCTATATAACTTATTATTCTATCTTTTAAAGAGAATTTCTAAAATAGTTTATTTAAATATAAATTATAGTCTAATAAAACACACGACAAGCCGTTCATGATATAAAAAATTCATAATACAAACAAAAGAAATAAAACTATAGTTTGTACATAAATATGAAAAAACAAAAAATTGTATCTGAACAGATAACGCATTGAATGGTTCCAAGAATTCGTATATATTATTATTATTTAAGAATTCGTATTATTATTATTATTATTGTATATATATTGTATATACATAATATTTTTTTTAATTTAGAAATTTTTAAGCAATATTTTTTTACGTTTTCTAAATGTTTTGATATAAAGATTGCTTAGGTCACACCATCGCGTGTCGAGCTCTCAAAAAAGAGGTGTAAGAGGTGTAAGAGGTGTTTCATATGGACATAAATAAGGCGTGAGACATTTCACGTGGACATTTCATAGCAATCTTACGTTGTCTAAATCCACAATCTACTCTGCCAGAGCTTATTACATCGGTTCTAAACTTATGAAATTATTCCGACGTGCCGATAAAACGAAACCAAGCGAATCTGCCGCATGATTTCACGAAAGCGCCGTTTTCTCGATGCCATTTACTACTCCACGACTGTTTCAGTCCTTCTTTCCAGCGTCACGATCTCTCTATGCTAATTTTCTCGGGAAGTAGGAAATGGTGCAGCGCGATAGATTCACCGAAAGAATGGCAAAGTACGTAATTACGTAAATTACGTTTACGTTACCACACGAATATGGAATAAACGCGATGGACGTAGCGAGGGTTTTATCGCCAAGTTTAGAACGATTTATACTATGACTAATAGATTGCAAACTGTACTCAATAAAGTTCCTCAGCTCTACTCATTTTTATGGTTGTATACTAAGATCAGAGTAAGCGCTATTTATTTTTATCATATAAAGGATATCACGTTCTCGTGAATATTATATTTCAATGTAAAATTCAATTTATTGTATTAGAATAATGTTAATAATGCAACGTGTTTTGAGGAAAAAGTCGATTTATGTTCCAATGGAATAAAATGTACGCGGTACATTTAATTAATTTAAAATTTGAAAATAAAGTCTTTGGGTGTATCTTCGTTTCATGTTTATTGAATGTGAATTCATCCGATACTTAAAAGTTTAGAGTTAACAGTTTTATTTTGTGACCATGAAATTTCTATATTCTTAATTCATCAAACATAATTTGCACAATTTAAAGAGAGAACTTGGAACGTGTCGATCACTAGTAGATCCTATCATAGGTTCTATCCGTGTAGTTATATGTTGAAAATGGTAAATTGGACGGATTGAGTGACAGAATGAATGAGAGGGTTTTTGCGGTGGCCTCGTAAATCAGGTACAAAGAGGAGAGAAAGAGCAGAAGATCGAATTTCGCGATTCTGTCGACGAATTCGTCGGTACCGTTAGGACGGCAGAAATTGCATCGCGACGCCCGCCATCGCATGCCTTTTATTTCTCGTCGGCCGAAGATCATCTTAATTAAAGAACCGGAGGGTTATACGCGTTGACTCATAAGTTGTTCAAACGAGTCATTACTTTCCGTTCATCTCCCGCTACATGTCGTAGCTAAACAAGTAAGAACAAGAGTTTATCCAGGAAACGAATGCAAGAAGTTATAAACGTAGCTAATGAATATTACAGCTCTTATTGCTTTTTATTTATAAATTTTACCTGTAAGAAACCATTTCTAATTATATTTTTAAGTATTCTGTATGTAAAATATGTATTAAGATACATATATTTAAATATCATTAAATTAATTTACAATATATATTTAAAAAATAAAAGAATCGGAAAAAAGATTTAATTATTTTTAATATTTTTTTAAGTTACATAGAGCATTTTATTTTATTTTATTTTATTTTTTTTTTTAGTTGTCTTCTTAATATTTGTAATAAATTGTGCATTTAGTTGTTATGATATCGTTGTTAAGATGATGTAAAGTATATGTTATTTTTGACGAAGGTTGACAAGATTAATAAACCTGACAGGAATGTGGTCCCCGAGATTTTTGTG